CCTTGGTAATGGCTTCTTATAAAATATCTATGTAATAGCATGAATAGTTCATCCTCACACAAATGCAGAGAAAATGATAGCCCCATCTATGAAAATATTAGCATCTCAAATATATGGTAACAGCATAGGCACCAAGTAAAAATGCTGCTACTGTCACCCTTCTGATACATAAATTATTTAACAGTTTTATGTTTAATTTATCTAAATTTTTTTGTAAGACTGAAGGGTTCTTTATGAAAACTGTACTGACATTCAAATCTGTTTTGTGTTACACATAGGCCAGTATAGATGATAAAATTTTAGTGGGTCATGAAGCACACATCAAAGTGACAGAGCCAAGGGAAACAAACGCTGCTTTGTAGCACTTTGGCTGTACTGTTAATATGTTTGTCAACTTTTGAGCTTATCTCCATTTTTAACAGAGAAGTTCTATGTCTGGAGTTCACCTATCTGAGAGTGATCACAGGATCAGCTGATGGCCGCGTCAGGATCTGGAATTTGATCACGGGTCAGTGTTGTCGTATTATGAGAGGGAATAGTCGCAGCGATCCCATTCTCTCCATGGTTGCCATAGGTGACAGGTGAGTTCAGTCTTAGTTGTATTTACACTAATTTATAGGGCAAACATACATTCATTTAAGTGAATGAGTTATGAAAAATGTTTACAGAAAATTAGTGTTGCTCAGTTTTATTGTTATTAAAATAGAATGTTAAGAAATTGATAGATGAGAAATGATATATTTTACAAAAGTTCAGTTAGGTTCAGAATTTCTAAAAATCTGTGATGTTTTATTTGTGTATCAGAATCACAGTCAACACTTTGAACAGCCTTCTGGTCATGAACTTTGAAAAAGTAAATTGGGATTATAGTCTTCAGAGTGATCAAGTCCCACCCCTGGTTCAGTATGGCTCCTACAGTGATGCACCCGTGCGTTCACAACCGTATCCATATATAAGGGCTCAGCGCATGTCCAAAGCGGGTGCCACAAACTCAAAAATTGTTCATCATGACCACGCCAGCCCAGACTCCAACACAAGACAGGTTTTACTTCAACAGCAGTACAGAGCCACCCAACTACCACACAGTGCTAAAAGTTTGAGTTCCAGAAGTTTGTACAATGCCAGGTGTGTCCAGAGCATGACAGGAATGTCAGATGGACTTCCGTCTACATCAGAAGTGGCCCAAACTCAATTATCTCCCCACCAAGAAAAAACATGTAACCCTGAACAAAGTGTTGGCTCAATCAAAAAGGGGCAGCACTCTGTGCATGGTTCTCAGTCTGCGGCCAGATCCAGAGTTCACTCGACACCCTCACAGTTCAGTGTCACCATCAAGGAACAGGAGGAAGAGAAGGAACCGCTTCATATAACCAGGAGGATATCTTGGGCGTTTGAGAAGCCATTAATCCCGAGGGACAAGAACATCAGTTTGTCAGAGATCAAAGCTTTGCTTAGATCACAAATTCGGATGAAGACAGAAAGAGTTGTTCCTCCTGACTTCATTTACCTCACAGTCAGCACTATCCAGAAGTCCATAAATAAATCAGAGACTAATTTCAACACAAAACGCAACATGCAAGATTGGAAGCCAGATGCTGACACTGTCAAGAAGAGACCAAACTCTTCTCCAAGTCGTATTGATCCCAGGACAAAAGTTCCAGTGGAAGAACTTGGTTTAGAAAGTTTCATGACTGAAGATGGCACAGTCTCTGAATTCTCCGACAAGTGGTCTGTCAAAACTAAAGAACAACCCAAGTCTGATGTTGTCAAGACAAAGGAGTGTTACTCCACTGTGTGCATGGCCACACCTGTGTTACCAGGACCACACGCGAGTCTGCATCCAATCAAGGTCAAAACAACTGTTCCACCAGGTTGGGTGATACGTCCTATTTCTGCAGGGCCTTTGGGTTCAGATGGCAAAACTCATGTACCATTAGTCCCTCAGCCACCAAGGCCCATAACTGCTCCAGGTAAAACAGGCTGTACCAGTGTAAAATCCATTCCTGCCAGTATCGCGCCTTCCCTTGCTGGTGTCGGTGGCTTGCTTCAGAGGTCAAAACCTTATCCGCTTGTATCCACAAGCCAGTATGAGACTAGCAATGTCCCGATGCTGATGTATCCTAAAGAGGTAAAAGAGAAAGCAGCAGAGCTGTTAGAAGGTAGGAAACACCGTTATGGACAAATAGAAATTGGCCCAGAAGGCCGAGCTATTGGGCGTGTTAGTATATACAACCAACCAATGAGAGAACATGTCAAGTTTGAGCTGCGGACACATCTCCAGGAAGAGGAACAAATGGCTGAGATCAAGAGACAGCATGAAGAGCAAGGTAAAAGTAAACTTAACAATGAGGAGAGGAAGAAGAGAGCGGCTTGGCTTGCAATGGCATCAAAAGTCAAATGATGCACAAAACTCTTGATTCATCAAGTCTAAATTGTGCAGGTTTTATGTATATTCAAATTATTTATTTTATTCCTGTACAGTATTTGGGAAAATTATCTTCCTGTACAGTATTTGGGAAAATTATCTTCCTGTATAGTATTTGGAAAAATTATCTTCCTGTACAGTATTTGGGAAACAGTTGCATTAATAAATTTGATTAGAAATGAAATAAAATATTTTTGAAAAACAAAGCTATTTATTATTAACAGAATTTTAGTCAAAACTATGCATGGTTACATGGAAATGGAAGTCCCACTCAATATTTATAAAGTCCAGGGTCATTCTAAATTTTTTCCCAAAATGTGATATGGGGTTTTGCACTTTTAAAAATTGTTGCTGTACATTTCTTCTTATGTGAACATATTTTATCTCAGGCTTTTTGACTTAATGTAACCCAGCAATTCCTATGATAACCTGCTTCCCATGTACACTCACTCAAAATATAACAATCTTCTTTTAGTTGTGAGTTCTGCCAAAATTGTCACTATTCTGTATATCCTTTAAATGTTTACCATATATAACATGAATTAGCACGTGGTGTACCAGTAAGATTATACAAACTATACACAAGAGTATGTAAGTGTGATTATTTATTGATTATTATTATTATATAAAGAATTTTTTAATAAAATGAGTGCAAAATATATTCTAGATATTAAACAAGGCTCAACAAGGCATGCTTCTAATAATATCCAGTTCCAGTATACATTTTCAGTTCCAGTAAACATATATTTTCCAGTAAACATATCCACTTCCAGTAAACATATCCAGTTCTAGTAAACATATTCAGTTCTAGTTCTAGTAAACATATCCAATTCCAGTAAACATATTCAGTTCCAGTTAACATATTCAGTTCCTGTTAACATATTCAGTTCTAGGTACAAGCTGATCATGTTCATTTAAAGAAACTCACAATTAATGTCTTTTTATGTGCAGTGAAGCAAACATTGAAATATTTTAAATGCTTTATAAATTATGATAAATTAACAGTATCAAACACTAAAAATATTCATTTTAATATTATTAAAATATTTATTCAAATCTGTCAAAATAATTTGTCAACTTGTTTGAAATTATGATGAATTCTATGCATTCATTTCCAATTATTGGAAATAAGACAAAATAAAACGAAAATTATCTCTATTATTTGTTTAATTTTAATATAGCTCTAAAAGCTGGTCTCTTCCTTTTGCACCCTGCCACACCTTGTGATGACAACTGAACTAAAGCAATGAAATCTAAAAAATACCCGAGAAAACTTTAGAGTAAGAGGTACCAAGTGCTTATATTTTGATCCATGAGGAAATTTTAAATTGTATTTTTAAATAACATTTTATGGAATACTTATTTTATGTTGTTTCCTTACTATATTTAATACCCGGTATATAAAATACACAAGACACATTTGTTTGTTTCTCCTAAACTGCTCTGCACCAAATTAAAATTTAAAAAATTATGTTTTTCTGTTGTTTTTTTGTGTTTACATTAATGTTTGGTCTTTCAGGAAGTGTGTTCATCAATAAGACCAACTACAATCATTCATACAATAGTGTTGGTACATTGCTTGAGAGCACAGGAGAAGATCAACTACAATAATTTGAACAGTAGTGTTGGTACATTGCTTGAGAGCACAGGAGAAGATCAACTACAATAATTTGAACAGTAGTGTTGGTACATTGCTTGAGAGCAAGGAGAAGACCAAGTATGGGGCAGGGACACAACAGCTAAAGGGTGGGATAACTTAGCAGTCATCAGTAGTTTTCTGATGGTTACATCTGCTGAGTCTACAGGTGGGACTTTAGGGCTTATTAAAATGGAAACCAACAAAATATATATCGGTACCCATGAACAGAGCATGTGGCTAGTTTTGTTGTATTATTACATCACTAAGAGTTAGCAACTAAACTTGATATTTAGTTGTATTATTACATCACTAAGAGTTAGCAACTAAGCTTGATATTTAGTTGTATTATTACATCACTAAGAGTTAGCAACTAAACTTGATATTTAGTTGTAATGTTACATCACTAAGAGTTAGCAACTAAACTTGATATACCCGGTACCAGGTAATAATCTGGAAGGTAATAAAATGCAAGTCAACAAATGATATGGGGGAAGAAATAATGTGTCACTGGCTGGCGGTGGGTAGGGGGGTGGGGGGAAATTGAATTAGGTACAATAATTTTAATGAGAATGCAATCTGGCCAGGCATGTTCTGTGAAATATTTAAGAATTTCCTTCTCTATTTTATTATTTTTTAAATTCATCCTGTTTCCATCTTGCATGGTAGGAGAATGAGAAAGATAATTTCACTACAGGTACAACTTATTATTAGGGTTAGATTTGTCATTGAATAAGCAATTTATTCAAAATTAATGGCAAAGCTTCCATAGTAAAACATGTCATATGTACAAGGCTATGACATTTTCTATACACTACTTGGTTTTTACTGCTTTTTTTTTAAATATTTAATTATCTTGTGATAAAATGTGAAAAGCATTAACATTTTATTGAAACATATTCTTTAAAGCTTAGATCTTAAGTCATTGAGTCAAATACACCCTCTATAAATGTATGAATTATTTTTCTTTCTCTTTATCATTTTATTCTTTTTCATTCAAAGAATCCAATCCACATCATGTCATTCAAATGTCAAGTTTTACAAATCAAGTACCGGGTAGCCAATATTTTAATCAACCCATCTAGTTAGTACAAACCTTCATACAGTGTTTCGACACATACATTTATATTATATACAATAGTGGACAGATAAATAGATTGCTCAATAGCTTGGTTATCACATTTAATTTCGGCACATGGAATTTTTAAATCAGAATGCTTCATTAAACTGTTGTCGAAGATGCTTTTCAAGTTGCTTAGTTTTCCTTTCTTTTAATTTAGCAGCATACTTTGCAGCTTTTCTGGCCGTCAATTTTCTTTCAGGATTACTCCCCGGCCGTGCAACTGCTGTTTGGTCACGAGGGTTGAAGTGTGTAATTCTTTTAGTTCCGCTCTCACCACCCAGGCCGATTCTATCTCTTTTCAAAATAGTCTTCACAGGGTATCTTGGTCCCTCTCCATTAGGGCCCAAACCTTGGGTGACATTCCATCCAGTTTTCAACAGCATCTGAAAACCTTTATTGTTCTCAGGTATTAAGTAAGCAGGGCTTTTCGGTTTATGTTTGCAATTAAACAAGTGAATGGTTGAAGTCTGGTGACTCTGTTTTTCTTGGTCTGAAAATTCGGCATTACAAATTGAACAGAAAAACTTTGCAGGTAAATCCTTTTGTTCAACACAGTTTTTTGTGATGGGATTGCATTGTTTAAAACAATTTATTTCATGCGCTAGATCACTATGTCCTTCATAATTAGCAAGCTCTGCAGCTGTTTGACCATTAGAATTAGTTAATGCCCTATCGGCACCACACTCAAGTAAAACACGGACAAGTTCTGAATGTCCTTCGGTAGCAGCACACATTAACACTGTCCAGCCGTAAAAATCTCTATAGTTAATATCAGCACCGTTGGTTAAAAGTTTCTTTACCTCATGCAACTCTCCCAGTTGACCATATTGCAATAATTTAAAATGATGTCTTTTTTCCTTAGTTAATATTGGTGAATAGGTTGAATTGGTCCGACAGGCTGCTGACTCTGGCTCTAACTGGCTATTTGTAGATGTCTCAGAAGAGTTTATGACCTCTAACCCTTGGTTCAAATAACTGTTGTTTGGAAATGTTGAAGAAACCACTGCCCTACTTTCCTCTACACTGTTCGTGCTAAGTTGCTTTGTTTGATGTGTTTCCTCTTTAAGCCTGCTGTGAATTCGAGTATTTCTGTCATCTCGACAAATTTTTTCTTTACAATGGTTAACTCGATATTTTCTTATATCTTTAGTCCTTTTTTCTTTCTTACTTTCTCTCAAATGATCAGAAGATTGCACGCCAGGCGGTTCATTTATGATGGATTCATAAAAGTTTTTAGCAGCATCACCAGCATCTTTTCTGGATAGTGTACGGTCAACGTGTTTGATTCTTTCATAACTTGTCAACTCAACCTGTGCTGGTACAAACTGAATCAAGTTGCGGTAAGCAGGATCAATGGTTGCCATCGGTATTATCACTCGGCAGTGTTCTGAAAAGAAAAGATTTACAAAAACTGTTCATGAATATTGAAAACTGACTTTTTACAAGAAATGGCTTCCAATTAAGTTAAGGAAGGAATATTTTTTATCTGTATGCATGTAAGTAAATTATTTAAATGTGAATTTTTGTCTTGAACAGCTGCATGTTCATAGTTACAGCACTGACCTGTTAATTTGTTATTTTATGAAAGTATGGCCTACCTAATACTAGCAAAGTTCTATGAGGACTTATAAATTTGAAAATAACCATGACTAAATTAATTGGAATGGATTTAAAAAACTGATTATCAATATCAAGATACCTAAACAAAACACATAATACTATATTTCACTATATCAACATCCCTTAGCCTAATTGCCCTAACCAATGCCTAGTAGGGTCCCTTGCCTGTAGCATAGGCTATGGCCTAGCTTAGTAACTATAATAGTTTATGTAATTAAGGTTATACTTTATAACCTAGTTCTCTTAAGATAGAAGCCATCCATAAATTACATCAGGCAATTCTGGCAAATTTTTTAACACCCCCCTCCCCCCGGTTTACCATATGTCTGGGTCTCCCCGGACATGTCCTCTTTTTAGAACCATGTCCACCCGGCTTTTTAGAAATATGACTTTTTCCCCTGTCCGTCCCCAATAAAAACCTTCTTATTTACTTTTCTGTGTTCTGGTATCTACTATTTCTGTACCATGAACTTAACACGCGCACCAGCAATATATAGTTCAATGGTAGGTTACTAAAAGGTTAGCTCCGATACTTCACGTTCCGGAAGATATTTTTGTAAACTTAATGCATAACGGTAACACTTGTTCATAATAATTGATAAATAATTTAATTTTTTAAGTTAAATATAAAAATTTTAAAAATGTTAGTTTATTTATAAATGCACTGAAAACCTTTTACCCAGGTTTTTGCACTGATCAATAGGGTGGGAAGCTGAAAGTTTGACAAGTGGCAGTGGAACTTATTTGTCTGTTGCCAATAAGGGTGCATTGGATTTAAAGGCACATGTCAAAATGCCAAAGAATGTTAAGAGAGTTGTTGGAAAAACGTAATCACCAAATTTATCATAACACCAAGTTCTAAAATGAATCTGTTTCATCAGTTGAAGGCATATTGGCATTTTTCCCCACTGTCTAAGCACCATCACAACTATAAATTAATGCACTGCAGCTGTTGCTTTTTAAAAACAATTTTACCTGATTCTGATATTGCATGCAAAAATCAGTCAGTGTACTGAACACTCACTTAATAGGCCTACAATTTTATAATTGAAACTATTTTTACAATTTTGTTTATGTAGTTTAAATTTACTTATATTTGTCAAACACTTAAACTTGGAGTTGTCCTAGAAGCCAGCTTCGGACTGGTAAGCGAATTTGATGAAAATTTTGAGTATCCACTTTTTTCATCTGAGGACTTACGGTTGGCCCCTTCCTCCCCCCACTCTACGGAGATGACTAGATTCATGAAATTTAGCTATGGCCCTACTGTATAATATAGCCTATTAAATTTATATATACCTCTCTATTTGGCCTAAATAACTAAATAAGCCTTTTACTTTTAATTATAGTCAATACAGTTGAGTAGGCCTACAGCTTAGTCTATGGCCTAGGTAGTTAAGCTAGATTATTATAATTTTTTTTAAATTTATTATAATTATTGAATAATAACTGGAGTCTCACTCACTCAATGACGTGAGTCTCAGTCTCAGTCAATGACTTCCACAAGTCAAACTTACAAAGTCAAAGTGTGAAGTTGACTCTTAAAAATAAGGGAAGCGTTATACGCAGTCGGCTGCGCATATTCCCAGCCGACTACGTATAACTCTCAGGGTTATACGCAGTCGGCTGGGAATTAGACAAATAAGGTTTATTACCGCTAGTTTGGTAATTTAAAAAAAAAGGATTATGCATAATTAGCTGCATTATGGATTGTTTTGAACTATACTTTTAATGTGTTTAACGCAAAATTTTAATTGAATTAATTTTAATTAATATTGAATGATAGTAATAGTATTAGTATTAGTGCTATTATTAGTATTATTGCTTGTATCTTATATATTATAATTATAAGTCTAAGTAAAAGTCTACATTTCTTAGACTTAGAGTCTAAGCCTAAGAAGATGATTTTTAAAAGCCATTTCCATGGTCTAAGTCTAGTTCTGTATTCTGATTGATTAGGTTTTTATATGTTGCTATGACCATGTCTAGATACTTCGGTAAGTCAAGGGAGACTACTACTTTTTGTGTATGGGATTTCGCAATCGGCGCCGAAAAATCAGAGTTTTTAATTTTCCGATGTGTGTGTCTATTTATTATTAAATTAGTACTTTCGATATATATTTGAGTTCCGTTTTCGGCCTTATAATTAGGTAGACATCTTGGCCTAGATTTTAATCAATTTCTTTTTCATTTACAATCAGTCAGCTTTGAGAAAATCCTTGGTAAATATAAGGCAACTTTCATCATTAAAATTAAGTAGAAGGAAAAAATTTGTCACTACCAAATTTTTTTTGCATCTGGGGAATCTATTGATCTACATGTATGCCAATTTTCACAGCGATAAGTGTCTTACGAGAGACGCTATGTTTCTACGCGTTCGCAGCAGGTCATGCAGCTCGCTCAACCTAATTTCGCCATGGGTTGGGCCACGCCCCCTTTTTAATGGCGGAAGTTGCCGATACTTAGGAAATATTAATTTATTACCACTATCTACATCAAAATAATTGATAACTTGTGTTTCAGAATGCATTTTGAAGACATTTAAACTGGAATGTTTTAATTTGAGCTTTAACAACCCGGTAGAATCCATATTATAAATGATCAGAATTTACCGTGTGCAACACGTTGTCATTGGCAACCATTCACAGCCACTTGCATAACGGCTGTATCGTAGTACTACCTCAGAGTTTCATTCATAAGAGTTTGCCGTGTGCAAAAACTACTATACCATTGGTCAGGGAAAGCTTTAATTAATTATTCATGTGCCAAAGTTGAAAGTTTAAACTAAGTCGACCCTAAACAGTATTTTAGTGATAAGGCGATGCGTTGCCTTATATAAAGTATATAGTCATTGCGCATGACGCGATCAGCGGAATGAGGTCACAAGATGTGGAGGTTTCGTCCATAGTAAAAAATACCAAACGAACTCACACTTTAAAAATTCATAGCTCAAAAAGTACTTAGACTTAAGCTAAAAAGTTGATTCTGGTTTCATTTTTTTTATTTGAAATTAGCTCTAACTAACTGTGCTATTAAAAAAATTATTTGATTTTTTTTAAATTTTGTATTCAAGTGCCTACATGTCATGTGGTTGGTTTTACTGACTAATTCAGGAAATACATTCTATTTATTAAAAAAAATATTAATCTAACAATCTAAGTAGTAGTACTTGTAAGTTTTAAGGGTAACCAGTTTTAAGACATAAGTATGTTAATGATGTTATTTTTGTTATAATGTATACGTTTAAGTTTAAATTAAGAGTTAAGATAAGTTAACTTAGACTTACATTCATTAAATTTTATTTAAGTAATTTAAAATAAGTGAGACAAGACCAGACCTTCAAAACAATATCTCTGCTTAGTTAGTAGTTAGGCTTTACTCTATACTATACTTTTTAGAGGTAATTATGGATAGGCTTACGTTCTTTTTATAGTATAAACTTTTTAATATCATGTTAGAATCAACTAAGCTAAAAAGAATGAATGTTAATTACAGCCAAAGAGTACAAAACTCAACGTAATACACAAAAATAATTGAAAGATAAGGCAGGTAACTCTTAGTTTAGTTACTTAGTTATCAGTTCCTGTTGAAATCAAACGGAAGTCTACGTTTGTTTTGTTGCTTGGTTTCCCTTTTTATGAATGATATTTGCGTTTCGCATTTTTCTTTAAAATAATTTCTTGCCTTTTGCGAAAAATTGTTTTCAGTAAATTCATAAAATGTAAAGAAAATCTCAGTTGAGTTTAGACAAAAAAATTCTTAACTTGAACCTACTTATTTATTTATTCAGGCATTTTTATATAGCGCTTACCTTAAAGCTCTAAGCGCTTTACAATTATTAAAAACATATTATTTCAGAGTCAGAGATAAACGGGAAGAGAGCCCTATGAATTAATATGATTTTTTTGCGAAACAATAGTAGACAATATTTATTTATTTATTTAGGCATTTTTATATAGCACTTACCTTAAAGCTCTAGGCGCTTTACAATTATTAAAAAACATGTAAACTAACTAAAATAAAAATGAGACATTAGGATAGTAACTACTATACTATAGAAACAATTAAAATGGCTATAAAACGAGGACACTTTGGCACGTTTTGGCCTATACTACAGGATCAACCCGAGACAGAAAATGAGGCAGGGCAAGGAGGGTGCATCACAGGTCATAGGCGGACCTAAACAGATGGGTTTTAAGGGACTTTTTGAAAATGGACGAGGTTTCACAATGACGGATATGGAAGGGGAGCTGGTTCCAGAACGTGGGCCCATGGAAGTAGAAGGAGCGTTCACCGATGGTCTTAGTTTTGGTTCTTGGGATTGAGAGGGTTCTACTGTCAATGGAAGAACGTAGTTGTCTTGTGGGGATGTAAGGAAGCAACAGTTCAGAGAGATAGACAGGAAAGTGAGGGTCAGTGAACGAGTTGAAGCATAGATTGGCAGACTTGTACTTGATGCGAGAGGATATTGGAAGCCAGTGGAGTTGCCGCATGTTACTCTATACTATACTTTTAGAGGTAATAATACACATATCATATTGTTAAATTTATAGGCCTGTCATTAAATAATTTTTGTTTCCAAGAATTCTGTCAATGTTAACATTGCTATAAATTACGAGCATTTTAAATGTTTATTGATGCATTGTTTTCAACCATTAAAAATGACGGAAAGAATAACATGAAATAAGCCTTCTGTCACTTCAGTCAGCTACGGCCCCACCACCCACGTCTCTTCAAGGCGGCCGCGTCAAGCATCTGCTTTTTAAAAAAAAGTGTCCTGGACCCAAATGACTGCAAGAATTTTCACCCGATCTCCAACCTGCCCCCTTTGCATCTAAAATTCTTCAGAGAGTGTTGTGTCATAGCCTCTTATGTAGCATCTTAGCACTTATGACTTGCTTGTAAGCAGTGATCATTTCAGAAATTCCCCCCCCCCCCC